TCAATCTAAAACTAATTTATTTTATGAAAATACAGCGAGAAAGTCAAAAGTTATGGCTCCCGGAAGGTAAAGACTCAAACTTGACAAAAATTTGAATGTTTTTAGTAACTTTGCTAATTTTACTATATCTTCGGTAATTTGTGAGTTATAGTTGTGCTTTAAGCCTCAATTAAAAATGAGCTTTCTTCCAACTAAAATCAATTTATTTTATTAAAATACAGTGAAAGAATCCAGAGTTATGGCTCCCGGAAGCCTATGACGCAAACTTGCCAAAAATTTGACTGTTTTTAGTAACTTCCCTAATTTCACCATATCTCCGGGATTATGTGAGCTACTGTTGCGAACTTAGTATCAGTGTAGAAGGAGCTAAGTTCCATCTAAAATCAATTTATGTTATTAAAAAATATTGAGGAACTTAAAAGTTATGGCCCCGGGAATACAATGGCGCAAACTTGCCAAAAATTTGACTGTTTTTAGTAACTTCACGAACTTAACCATATCTCCGGGAATTTATGAGGTACAGTTATAAATTAAGTATCAATGTAAAACGAGCTTACCTCCATCTAAAATCAATTTATTTTATGAAAATACACCAAGAAAATCAAAAGTTATAGCCCCGAAAAGCTATGACGCAAACTTGCCAAAACTGTTTTTGACTGTTTTTAGTAACTTCACTAACTTAACCATATCTCCGAGAATTTATGAGGTACATTTATGAATTAAGCATCAATGTAAAACGAGCTTACCTCCATCAAATATCGATTTATTTTATGAAAATACAGTGAGAAAATAAAAAGTTATGGCCTGCGGAAGACAATGACGCAAAATTGCCAAAATTGTTTTAATTTTTAGTAACTTTGCCAATTTTATCATATCTCCAGAAATATGTGAGGTACAGTCGTGAATTAAGCATCAATGTAAAACGAGCTTACCTCCATCTAATATCAATTTAATTTGTACATATGTAGAGGATAAATTAAAAGTTATGGTCCTTGAAAGACATTGACGCAAACATGCCAAAAACCTGACTGATTTTAGAAACTTCGCTAATTTTATCATATCTCCAGAAATATGCGAGCTACAGTCGTGAATTAAGCATCAGTATAAAGGGGAGATATTTTTGCATCAAGTTTTGCTCAATTTTGTGGGAATACTTTGTTTGGATAGAAAATTGTGTCTTAGTGTTTGGGTTCCTTTTTGTAAACTAGTTGTCTGGCAAAGTACGACAATTCGGTATAATATTTTTCAAAATATCTTTACAGTATTTATGTACAGCAATAAAATCTTTCCCACTATTAAAAAGACAATTTCAACTACTTCAAATATCATTTTATATAATTCAAATACATCCAATACTTCAGAAGTTATGACCTTCAGAAGACGATGACGCAAAAGTGTCAAAATTTCGGTCCGTTTCAGCAATTTCTTTCACTTGGCCATATCTCAGGCACTTTTTGAGTTCCATGGTAAAAATGAGCTTTCTTCCAACTAAAATCAATTTATTTTATTAAAATACAGTGAAAGAATCCAGAGTTATGGCTCCCGGAAGCCTATGACGCAAACTTGCCAAAAATTTGACTGTTTTTAGTAACTTCCCTAATTTCACCATATCTCCGGGATTATGTGAGCTACTGTTGCGAACTTAGTATCAGTGTAGAAGGAGCTAAGTTCCATCTAAAATCAATTTATGTTATTAAAAAATATTGAGGAACTTAAAAGTTATGGCCCCGGGAATACAATGGCGCAAACTTGCCAAAAATTTGACTGTTTTTAGTAACTTCACGAACTTAACCATATCTCCGGGAATTTATGAGGTACAGTTATAAATTAAGTATCAATGTAAAACGAGCTTACCTCCATCTAAAATCAATTTATTTTATGAAAATACACCAAGAAAATCAAAAGTTATAGCCCCGAAAAGCTATGACGCAAACTTGCCAAAACTGTTTTTGACTGTTTTTAGTAACTTCACTAACTTAACCATATCTCCGAGAATTTATGAGGTACATTTATGAATTAAGCATCAATGTAAAACGAGCTTACCTCCATCAAATATCAATTTATTTTATGAAAATACAGTGAGAAAATAAAAAGTTATGGCCTGCGGAAGACAATGACGCAAAATTGCCAAAATTGTTTTAATTTTTAGTAACTTTGCCAATTTTATCATATCTCCAGAAATATGTGAGGTACAGTCGTGAATTAAGCATCAATGTAAAACGAGCTTACCTCCATCTAATATCAATTTAATTTGTACATATGTAGAGGATAAATTAAAAGTTATGGTCCTTGAAAGACATTGACGCAAACATGCCAAAAACCTGACTGATTTTAGAAACTTCGCTAATTTTATCATATCTCCAGAAATATGCGAGCTACAGTCGTGAATTAAGCATCAGTATAAAGGGGAGATATTTTTGCATCAAGTTTTGCTCAATTTTGTGGGAATACTTTGTTTGGATAGAAAATTGTGTCTTAGTGTTTGGGTTCCTTTTTGTAAACTAGTTGTCTGGCAAAGTACGACAATTCGGTATAATATTTTTCAAAATATCTTTACAGTATTTATGTACAGCAATAAAATCTTTCCCACTATTAAAAAGACAATTTCAACTACTTCAAATATCATTTTATATAATTCAAATACATCCAATACTTCAGAAGTTATGACCTTCAGAAGACGATGACGCAAAAGTGTCAAAATTTCGGTCCGTTTCAGCAATTTCTTTCACTTGGCCATATCTCAGGCACTTTTTGAGTTCCATGGTAAAAAAGTTTTTCCTGTTATTGGAAAGACGAGTTGAATTACTTCAAAAATCATTTAATATCATTTAAATACAGCAAATACTTCAAAAGTTATGACCCTCGGAAGACGATACGCAAACGTACCCAAATTTCGATCTGTTTCACCAACTTCTTTCACTTGACCACATCTCAGGCACTTTTTGAGTTATCTCGATGAAATCTACAACAATTAAAAGGTGAGGCATTCCGCTTTTATAAGCCATTCTACGTCATGAGAAAATATCTTATAACGTACCATATACCGTATACGTACTGACAACACTAATACGCTCCATGGTACAATATCTTTTAATTGAGAACTTTTCATTGTTTTAAGCTCAAAAGTGATTGTGTTTTTCTGAAATGGCATGCAATTATAGGAAATCCCAATGAAATGCAAAAAATGAATAGGATATTCCAGCAAATAGTCACATTGTTTCAAGATAAAATCAGGTATTCAAATGAACAAGCATAAAATTAGTTTTGAGCCATAATCTAACCTTATTATCACACTGAGTTGGCACAAAAATTAAATTGCTAAATAGGAGGTGAGTTTTTTCCAGGAGCTTATATAGATACCTATCACCTCACACAATCTCCGTATGTGTTTGGCATGTCAATAACCCTAACTAAATTTAGTCTTCTTCCGATGCTTTGTTTTGCCATCGCCACCCAATGTCTGAATACTAATTTATGCGTATTTTTTTATTTCATTTTTATCTCCCAGCGAGCCAGCCAACCATTCGAACAAAAGCCAAACAAATTGTTATGGATGGTTTGGCGGATAACAAGATACTCAAACACAATTTGGGAGTGGGTGGGTGGAGTCTATAGGTTCCCTAACACATACGATTCGCATGCAGCCCTCGCACTGGTGTCAATAACTGTATGGGTGTGAAAGCTTAGATGTATCCTGCAAGGATATGTAAACTACGGGAGTGTGTGTGGGTGGTGATGAGCGGCCCTTAGGCTGAGCTAAATGTGTTGGCATGCATAAGGTTTCTGGTTGGGGTATTTTTCTTTCCAAACTTAAAGGCAAAAGGTTTGTGAGTAAAGTATCGGCCAGATTAAAGGTGTAAGGATACCCGACTTGAATTTAATGAGCCTTCCGGAAAAATAAACATGACTTTGCAGAACAAAATAAAACTTAACAAGATAAGGTGGCATGGAAACCCAATTTTCTTTTGGTGGGATATGCAAAAGGATGGCATTTTCTGGCAGCCTCCATGGCGTATTAGTATTATTAATTAATTCATAACACGTATACGCCCTCAAGGGGGAAGTCCTCATGGAAATAAGGGAACACACAAAACAGAGAGAAATATCTCCTTTATTATTTTTTCCTTTTTTCCAAAAAAAAGGCCAACAAGGAAACCATATTCCGACCAGAAAATATAACAATTAATTTGGAAACAATGAAAAACTGTTTGGGAAAATTCTGCTTAACCAGAAAACTTCCTTGAAACAAGGATGCGGCCGCAGGCCTTACAAGTAATTAACTAAAATATCATAGCGGGCATGAAAATGTGAAAATTTTAAGGGAAAATGGAAAACGGAACTAAATAATTTTTTCGCTGTTGTTGTATTTCGACTGGCTTGTTAAAATTTGTTGGTTTTGCCTGTCCTGCAGGCATATCTGCTGCTGAGGCATGGCAGTGGGAGTGTGGTTGGCCATGCATTAAAGCATTTTATTATTAATTACATTTAAATTATAGGCTTTGAATTGTAATTAGCGATCTAATAGAAAATGGGGTCTTTAAATTATTGCATACTTTTAGGCGTTAATTATGATTTATTGTGGAAGACATTTGGGAGGGTGTGTAATTAAATGCAATTATTTGGAATATTAATAAAGAGGGAGGAAAATTGGCATCATTATTCGACCGTAATTTTTATTCAAATATTTCATGAATAATTATTTGAAAAGAGCAATTAGCTTCGTGAAATACTGCGAGATCCTGAATTACTTAATTTATTTTTAGACTTCTTAGAAGTTTTCATTTCGAAAAAATTAAAGAATTTTATGGACTTACTTCTTCAAATGAGCAAGAAAATTTTGAATCTGCGGATGTCGGAACAGTATACGAAAGTTTATTAGGTTCCTGAATATTATTTTCTTAATTATATGTTTTCCATTATTTATATAATTCAATTAAAAATAATCGCATAGTTCTTAAGTTTTAAACCTAAACCTTGCCTTTCTTTCTCTTTATTTCCAGATTTAGCATTCTCCAGCACCTCAACGATAACATCATATCACAATCATCTGCATCATCAAAATTGTACAAAATCGGAGCGGATACGAATCAAGAAGGGATGTGAAATCATCGATAAACGTTGCCATTGCTGGCCGACGTTAAAAGTGTGTCGAAATCAGGTGAACACCGGATCGGGTTCGAGAATTCTGCGATGGCATTTCAAAACGCTGGAGGTGAGTAGACATGGAAAATTACAAGAATAGTAGAATTTTTAACAGATTGAAATAGTGCCAAAATTTGGGAATACTTTTGTACCAAATGATAATAATTGACAGGGCAACAGTTTCACAATAAGTATGCCATTCATGGGATCATATCTCTTGATTCCGAGCATATGTCTCTAGAAAGTGATATATATTTGAAAAATGATTAGATCGTCTCTACAATTATGTAAGAAAACTTTCTGAAGCCAATATATTGCCAAAGATATGGCCACATAAAAATTATTGCAAAAAGTTGTTAGTTTATGGGACTGTTTGGGTAACTTGTTTTCAGAGCCTATAACTTTTTTAGTAATCAAAATATATTTATTATTTGACTCAGAATTTGAAGCTATATGCCCTACTCCCTCCCAAAATGTAAAGTGTTGCAATATTTTGAATTAAAACTCTATCAATATTTGTGCAAATATTAATTTCATTAATCTTTTTTTTTTAAATACCGAAGGGATACAGTAATTATCATAATTATGAAGTCATATATTTTGATATTAAAGAGTTATATCAATATTGTAATGAGCGTTGCAAAGAAGACTATCTGGCCTTTACAATAATGTATGAAACTTTACTGTAACCCACAGTTTACAAGAGATATGGCCATTTTAAAAGCATGACAAAAAGTATGTATTTTTGATCGGTTTTGCGTAACTCTCTTCAAGGGAGAATAACTTCTGCAGAAATCCATATACATATATCATATTCTTTAAAGTCGAAAGCACATGCTCCACCTCTTCTAAAAAGCACAGTGTTGCCATATTTTGGTTTGAAAATTCATTAAATATTTTATCAAGACTGAATTGAATGATGGTACTTAAGAAGAAAGCAGGCAAATAAAAAATACGCCACTCATGGGTTCATATCTCCGTACCCACAATAGGTATTGGCATAAAGGTATAAGAATTTGAAAGAAGAGATCCTTATCCATTCCTAATGTATTCTATGTATGTGTATGTCATAAACTGCGAAAGATATGGCTAAATATAATGGATGCCAAAATTGGCTAATTTATTCGGCCTTTTAAGTAGCTCTCTTCCAGGGAGCACAATTTCTGTAGTAATACATGTATAAATACTATATTCCTAAACTTGAAAGCAAATGTAATACCTCTTCTAAAAATTCACAGTGTTGCCATATTTTGGTTTGGAAATTCCTTAAATTTTTTGATCAAAACTTAATTGAACTGTGGTACTTTAGAAGACACGAGGCAAAATAAAGTTACGCCACTCATGGGTTCATATCATTGCATCCATAATAGGTATCGACATAAAGGTATAAGAATTTAAAACAAGAGGTCCTCATCTATTCCTGATGTACACTATGTAGGTGTATGTCATAAACTGTCAAAGATGTGGCTAAATAAAATAGGTACCAAAATCGGCTAATTTATTTGGCCTTTTAAGTAACTCTATTCAAGGGGCTGTAACTTCCAAACTAATTAAATATTTCCTTCTAGTATGACTTAAAATGAGTGAGGCGGCAATACCGCCCTCAAAAATATGTAGTGTTGCCATATTTCGAAATTAAAATTGCTCAAAATAATAGAAATCGTGGATTTCATTGTTGCAATTTCGAATTCCCCAGGATGTAAAATTGGATTCCATTCTTGGGATCAAATCTTTCATTGTATCAAAGTAGAGACTTTAAAAAACATGGTTTGAAAAGAAGAATGCTTCAGCTTTACATCGATGTATGACATTTGGAAATAGCTCTTTAAATATTTCAACAACATTTAATTCAATGGTGCTACTATTTTAAAGAGGCTGGCAAATTAAAATGACGCCACTCATTGGTTCATATCTTCATCCCCACAATAAGCATTGCCATATAAGTATCAGGGTTTGAAAGAGGACACCTCATCCATTTCTGAGGAACACTATGTAGGTGTATATCAAAAACTCCCAAAGATACGGGTAAATAAAGTAGATACAAAAATCAGCAATTTTTTCGACCTTTTTGCGTAGCTCTATTCTAGGGGCTGTAATTGCCGAAGTCATAATATTTTTCAATTTTTTTGAGTTAGCAATGAAAGAAGAGGCAATACGGTCCTCAAAAATTTGCAGTTTTCCCATATTTCGCCATAAAAATTCCCAAAACAATAAGAATTATAGATAGACCAATGCAATTTCGAATGCTACGGGTTGTCTAATTGGCTTCACATCTTCATATAAAATTGTTGGTCATATCAAAGTAAACACTATTCTAACATTGTGTGGAAAGAAGAATCCCTCCTCTTTACGTCGATGTATGTCATTTGAATATAGCTCTTAAATATCCTGATTTATGGCGCAATGAAGATAGTTACTGAAAAATAGGAAATATTTGGTCATTTTGCGTAACTCTCATCTAGACACTAAAACTTTTCAAAATGATAAATGTATGTTAGTGAAATGAAAGGATTTTAAGAGTGGGGATATCAGTTCTTTATTTATTGGTGAAAAGTGGATAAATTCGCGCACATTCTGGTAGACAAATTCTGACCAAAAAATCTCTTTCAAAGCTTTTAGCCTAAATGTTTGGTTTGGTTTTTATAATTGATCAAAATTACTAAAATTAGTTAAGACTTAAAAAACCTGCAAGAATTCTCCATTATAATTGGAATTGAAATTCTCAAACAAGTATTTGCTTGGGTGCGTATGATCACTGACGTCACTTATACACTACCCTATTTATTTATGTATATTGCCATGCAATTTATGTGGAAAGAAAGGGAAATACATTCAAGATTTCGCTAGATAATCATGAGTTAGAAAGATGAAAGGCTCTCCTTTACCTCGATATAGAATTTTGAAATATAACTCTCTTATTACCTGAGTTATGGCCAAATTAAGATGCGTACGAAAAAGTGACAAAATTTTGGTAGTTTTGCGTAACTCTCCTCTAGAGGTTAAATCTTCTAAATAAATGTAGGTATTTTAGTGAAACCTCTTTATATTGAAATCAGAGCTTTACAGCAATCTTATTTTTGTTAGAAATTAAGCACTCCAACTCTTACTTTGAAAAGTCAGCTTTCGACCCAAATTTATTCCTAAACCCAATTTTTGCAAAAGCTTCTCTTTTGATTTTCTGTTTTAAAAAAGTAAATCGGTTTGAATTTAATAACGTTAAACATAAAGTAGAAGGATAAATGCCTCCTCTTTGCATCGAAAGTTAGTTTTTGAAAAGATCTCTTTGATTGCCTGAGTTATGGCTAAATTAAGATGGGTACGAAAAAGTGCCAAATTTTTGGTAATTTTGCGTAACTCACTTCTAGAGGACGAATCTTCCAAATAAGTGTAGGTATTTTATTAAAACCACTTTATATTGATAGCAGAGCTGTCCAGCATTCTAATTCTTGTTGGAAATTTAGCACTCCAACTCTTAATTTGAAAAGTCCCATTTGATCCGAATTTACTCTAAATTAAAATTTTTGCAAATTTTTTTGTCTTGGTTTTCAATTTTAAAGCAAGTAAATCGACTTCCTTCTAATAAGGCTTATCGCTAACTGGAAAGATGAATGTTTCTCCTTTACAATGATGTATGCTTTTTGAATTGATCTCTTTTATTGCCTGAGTTATGGCTAAATTAAGATGGGTACAAAAAAGTGCCAAATTTTTGGTCGTTTTGCGTAACTCTCAGCTAGGGGGCGAAACTTCTAAGTTAATACAGGAATTTTTTTAAAACCAATTTATTTTGGAAGCAGAGCTGTCCAGCTTTCTTATTCTTGTTAGAAAATAAGCACCCAAGCTCATACTTTGGAAAGAACCCTTTCGATCCAAATTCACTTCATAACAAAATTTTTGCAAAATTTTCATCTATGGTTTTATATCTATAAACAAGTAATTCGGTTTTCATTTAATAAGGATATTCATAAATTGGAAAAGTGAATATCTCTGCTCTACAACCATGTTTGTTTTTTGAATATAGCTTTTTAATTATCTGAGTTATGGCCTAATTAAGAAAGGTACGAAAAAGTGCCAAATTTTTGGTCGTTTTGCGTAATCCTCATCTAGAGATCAAAACTTCTAAATAAATATAGGTATTTTAGTAAAAATACTTTATTTTGAAAGCAGGGTAGCATAGCTTTCTTATTCTTGTTAAAAATAAAGCAATCCAACTTTTACCGTGAAAAGTCCCCCTTTGTTTAAAATTCACTTTGAACCTAATTTTTGCAAAATTTTCGACTTTGGTTTTATATTTTTAAAACAACAAAAAAATCGGTCTCTACATTAAAAGGGGCAACATTTTACAATATAGTTGGATTATTATCATTGCCATAACGTCTAGTTAAGAATATTTTCCATTGTATTTGCGTGCGTATGATTACCGCCATCACTTATAAGCCACCTGATCCTTTTTATAAATATTCCTACTTTTTTGTTTTCTTTGCAAATTTTTAAAACAACTCCATATAAAAAAGATGCAAATTTTTATAATAGACTTTGATTCTGAATATTACCATAACGTTTATTTTAAATTATTTACATTGGTGCTTGGGTGCGTATGATTATTGTCGTCACTTATACGTCTCCCAATTGTTTTACGATTGTTTCCCTACAGCATTTTTTGAATGAAATATAAATACAAAGTTAATTTTATTTTCAAATTCAAAACTCATTTCCCCCGTTTTCAAATATTTATTCAGCTTCAATTTCCCCTCTCCTCAAAATTTTCCTCCCAACCCTTAAATTGCATTGAAGTTCCCGCATTACGCCCCAAATAATTGCATTTCTCATTATGTTTATCTTATTTACAACCTGCTGAGCAAGCAAAATATCCTTTGGAGACAACTCAAACTCACACACACATATGCAGGCAAACATTTCCGAAGACAATGCATTGCGGTATGTCAGGATATTTAAATATAAAGATACTAGTCGATGCCGAACTACGAAAATGTGGTTCGTTAATGGGTTTCACTGGCAGAGACATACGTGTGTGTGTGTGAGAGTAAGTGTATTCAGTTCTGCAACGACATTTTTGTTACGTGTTGCTATGGTGACATTTATCACCAACACCCTTTTGTGTAGCACTCTGTAAGTTAGTGTGTGTGAGGAAATCCTTGAGATATATCTTTGCCAGCACTTTCTTTACTTCATATTCCTTGCCTCTGCTCCCCTCACATGCCAGTTCCCTCAAAGTACGACTGCTGCTTAATGTCATTTGTGTAGTGTCATCGTGCAATTCATTTCATTTATTGTACCGCATTACATTTGTTAAATGAACGAAGGACGTCATTGATCTTTGCCATTGCATTGTCGGCAAAAGTGGGTAACTGACGAATTCTTGCTTTGATTGCTTTGCTTCTCGGCAAGGAAACCATCGAAGCAAACCAACCAGTCGACCAAAGCATTAACTTGGTTAAACATCGCCAGTTAAGTTCAAACATTTAATCAAAGTCTCAAACAGGCTTGTCATTAAAATAGAGTGCAATCATTTGTATGAAGACATACATATCCGGTCAATGGGGAAAGGGGGAGATCAAGGGGTGGAGATTTTCTGTCATCAAATTTAAGTTGATTGCCAAAAAGGATAGGATCTAAAATCAAGGAGAGCTATTCAGATTTTTCTTTAGAAATTTAAAAAAAATGTTTTTTGTTTCTTTCTTCTTTCCAGGACTGCCAAGTTAATTTAGTGAGCCTCATAAAAACGGAATTGGATTTCGATGAGGACTATACAATAGCACCGAATTTGTTTTCACACAAAAAGACAAGACGAAGGAAGAAATTTCGAACAAAAGAGTAAGTATCCAGCTATTGTTTTGGGGTGTAAATAACACAAACATTTTGATGAGGTTATTTAATAGAGTGGGTCGTATAAGTTATGTCACAACGTATACGCCCCACATATCTTTTAATTTAAAACTATGTGTGATTTATTCCTAATCTTGGAGGAATCTAGCGGGATCTCTTTAGGAAAATATTTTCAAGGAAGTTGCATGGATTTCATCAGGTTTTTTTTCTGAAGGAATATTGATTTTTTTTTTTTTTATAAAAAATTATTTATGACAGACAGACAGCCGATACTTGGTTTATGAAAACTTCTTCTAAAGGAATGTTCTCAGATTTTGAAAAAAAATTCCCAAAGGCGATCCATGGATATTTTAATTGTTATACCCTACAACACGAGATGGTCAGGGTATTATGTCTTTGTGCATTTGTTTGTAACAGGAAAAAGAAACGAGATAGACCCATAGTTCCTTTTGATGATCTGCACAGAATCACATTCTGAGTCGATTTATGCATGTCCGTCCGTCTGTCCATGTATTTTTGTAAACAAAGTACAGTTCGCATTTATTGCCCTATCCAGACGAAATTTTGCACAAATCATTTGTTTGGCCCAAGGGCTAACCCTATTGAAATTGGAGATAATCAGTCAAAATTTAGATCTAGCTCCCATATATATCTTCGTCCGATTTGCCTTTTATTGCGCACCATACTTGTAATATCAGTCCGAATAGTATGGAATTCTGCACAAATTAGGCCTGAAAATAAGTATGCCAAATTTTATCGATTCAGATATAGCTATAGCTTCCATATATATTGTTCATCCCATTTGTTATTTTTGTCCTCGGCAGCCGTAATATGCACTCTGTAACAACAATATTTGGGGAAATATATCAAATACAGCTCAGAAATACCTTTGCTAAATTTTATCGAGTTCGGTTCAGATTTGAATATAGCTCTCATATATGACTTCGTCCGATTTGTCTTTTATTGTGCACCAAATGTGTAATATAAGCCCGAATAGTATGGAATTTTGCACACACAACCAAAATAGGCCTGAAAATAAGTATGCCAAATTTGATCGAAATCGGTTCAGATATAGCTATAGACCCCACATATATTGTTCATCCGATTTGTTATTTTTTGTCTTCCGCAGCCGTAATATGCACTCTGTTACAACAATATTTGGGGAAATATATCAAATACAGCTCAGAAATACCTTTGCTAAATTTTGTCATGATCAGTTCAGACTTGGATATAGCTCCCATATATAACTTCGTCCGATTTACGTTTTATTGTGCACCAAACGTCTAATATTTGCCCAAATGGGATGATATTTGGCACTTACGACCGAATTGAGTCTAGAAGCTAGTATTTCAAATTTGGTGAAGATCGGTTCAGATATAGCTATAGCTCCCATATTCTCTGTTCATCCGATTTGTTAACCACAGCCGTAATATGCACTCCGTAACAGCGATATTCAGGGAAATTTATCAAATACAGCTCAGAAATATCTTTGCCAAATTTTATAGAGATCGGTTCAGATTTGGATATAGCTCCCATATATATTTTTATCTGATTTCAAATTAATTGTGCGCCAAATGGGCAATACAAGTCCGAATTTAAAAGATGCAAATGCTTCGACATATTTAGTCCTTTGAACTTTAAATTAAAATTATAATCATAGCGTGTATGATTGAATTCTCCCATAAAAACTTGTAATTGTTATGTGGAGCTCTATGTGGGTATCATAAAGTCGGCCCCGCTCGGCTTTAGGACTTTCTTTACTGTTTTATTTTTTTTTTTTGACGTATTATGACGTCTTCTAGGACCTATAGTGATTTTTTTATGGAATATTTCTTCTATTGCCCCCCTATTGAAATTTAATAAAGATAATTTTTGTCTTTGACTTCATCCTTCTAAAATGAAAATTTGTTGGAGATTTGTGGCAACAAATCACAAAATTCGGTTTTAACCCTAAAATGTGTTTTTAATATATATAAATGACGTTCAGGTAAGACTAAGACCCTACACGTCTTCTAGAACCTTTAGTAGAATTTTATGACAAATAATTTTGTGGAATATTTTGAGATTTGTGCCAAAATTCACACAAACTTCGGCCTTAACCCTAAAATATTTTTTTAATATATCTGAATTCCTGGCGTTTAGGAATATGTCCTGTAGGACGTATAGTAGAATTTTATGACAAATAATTTTCTGGAATATTTTGACTTGCAAATGTCTCGTTAAAAGAGAGTTTTTAACCATATTTTCAAAAGAGGACCAAAAAGACCGCTTTGTTGACTCGCTTGTGGGTTAAATTTTTCGAGCAAAATATTTCATTGAATGACAGTGAATTTGGTTTGCATTTTTCAATATTTTCCCGTTCGTGAAGATTTTTATGGAAAATTTTCCCGATGGTGAAGATTTTCGTAGAAAATTTTCCCGTTGGTGATTATTTTTATGGAAAATTTTCCGATGGTGAAGATGTTTTTAGAAAAATTTCCTGTTGATGAGGATTTTCTTAAAAAAAAAGTCCTGTCGATGAAGATTTTTCTTAGTAAATTTTTCCGTTGGTCAAAATTTTCATTGAAAAATTTTCCGTTGGTGAAGATACTTATGGAAATTTTTCCCAATGGTGAAGATTTTCATAGAAATTTTTTGTTCGATAGCGAAGATTTTCCTATAGACAATTTTCACTATTGGTGAAGAATTTCTTGCAGAAATATATACCTTAAACAAACAGATTTCGCGGAATCTTAGTTCGAAAATTTCTGTATATGGAGGAGAAAAGGGGAACTTGGCACCCTTTAATTAGGTGACTTTGCGTCCGGCACACGTGTCTTATCTTCTGGATTTTCCCACAATTTAAAAATTATTTGAAAATTTTGTAATTTGTCACACAGTGTTGTTTGAGAATCCTGTCAACTATTTTTTTGTCATTTTTAAAGATTATGCTCCATGAAAAAAAATATTAAAAATATGAAAAAAAAAAAAAATAATAAAACAAAGTAAGATTTAAAACTTAATTATCACCATACAGTCATTTCAAAATTTATTTTTATTGTCTAAAAATAAAAAAAGAAAATCCTCCTCCACATTTAATTTCTCAAAAACTTTAAGGACTTCAAAAAAAAAAAAAAAATTCCCATTAATTTTACATCAGCATCATTAAATTTCCTCCTTTTCCATGGGAAAAGAAAAACTTGAAATGTAATTCTCTTTTTTTTTGCCTTCCTTCTTTAAAGTTGTTTTGTTGTTTCCTTTCTGTGTGTGTGTGAATATATATATGTGTGTGTGTCATTAACTACATATATCCTCTTTGGAAAGTGGATTGTAACTTACTGATGTTACAATTGTTTATAAAGTCCTTATTGTCTTAGTTTTTGTTGCTGCTGTTGTTGTTTACGTCTGTTTTCTCACGACTTATTTCCGTTTCCTGTTATAGATTTTTATTTAATTGTCTTTTGGCACAGAAAAACAAAAAAACAAAAGAAACGCAAAGAGAAGACTCGAGTCAAAGTGGAGGAATACGAAATTCATGGCATCCTCAGAATATTTGTAATGTGTTTTATTGGTGTTGTTGTAGTAGTTGTTGTTATTATTTTTATGTTGGCTGTTGTTCTACGAATTTCTGTGTTCTATTAGATTTTGTGTGATTATAAGATATCCGGTGACAGGCACACACACACTCGCTCACTCACTCACTCACATGTATTTCTAAATAGATTATGTATTTTAGCCCAGACATCCTAGACAAGATGAACGTAAGAAACTTGGCTTAGGTAAAAGTGACAGCTATGTAAGATGTATGTATGTGTGTGTGGGCGTGTGTGTGTTGGTAACTGTGTCACCGGATGTATTATGTGTGATTTCAGTTATTTGCTTTGGCTGTATGTGTGTGTCTCTGTGCCATGTGACAGTTATTTAACAAATTAGTAAGAATAATTTCTGTTGGAATTTTTATTACATTTCAAACACATCATTATTGCCTAATGAGGAATTTAATTTCGGTATAATATAACACTACGGCCCAGTAAATAAATCTAGGCCATAAACACACAGAAGCATACACACACAAATTAAATGCCTAAAAATATGCCACACTTTATCTAATGGCATATAAATATATTATTATGAGTGCGGCTCTAAATGACACATGAATTATAACAAAAAGGATTATCAAATATCAATGATAATTGCCGAGTGTGTGTGTGTGTGTGTGTGATATTTGTGATATTTATATAAGGACTAGAAATATGTTCATAGCAATTATCCGGTAATGAAGCCATGATATTATGTTTTGTGTTGAATATCTAATTTCAGAGCATTTTGTTGGCAAGTCAAATAATATTTGAAATGTGATGGGATTGAAGGAGATAAGGGAAATATGCATTTTATTGGTAATATAATTGAGGTATGAGCAATGGCAACACTCATACGCCACCAGATCCATTTCTCTTTGTGGTAGGGGGGTTGCGTATGATTTATGGCTTATACACAGAAAAAAAAGAAAACTTTTCGGAGAGGAATTTATGTAAGGCATTTCTCAGCGATAATTCTAACCTAAAAACCACTAATCGTACGCAGACAGACATAGATGTCTTTGAAAATAGAAAAAAAACGGCTGATATGGGAAAAAAGTTCAAATAAAATATTGGTGTGAAGAAAATATTTGTATACCCTCCACCATAGTATGGAGGGTATATTAATTTTGTCATTCCGTTTGTAACACCTCGAAACATACACCTTAGACCCCACAGAGTTAATATATTCTTGATCAGCATAAAATTCTATGTCGATTTAGCGATGTCCGTCTGTCTGTCCGTCTAGGGAAATCGCTCTAGCTTCCGAACGAATTGAAGTAGATTGATAAAATTCTCTCAAATGTATGATATTCGGTATTTTGATGATTTTAGCGACATTATTCACCGAAATCCTTTCAAATTTCGTATTTGAAGTTCGAAATGGATACTACAGCCTAAGACAGAAAATTGCTATGCAGGTCCACGTCT